ATGGACATCATTACAGCCTTGCAGCTTGTGCTGAAGAACTTCATGGCACATGGTGCTAAGGTGATTGAAAGGCACACTGCACAGCTCTGTGTATTTGGCAGAGGATTGCAATCAGCTAGACTATGTTAAACTTGTTAAAGCTCTTTGTGTTGATCACTATATAAGCGTGATATTGGTGCCAAGTGCTAAAACTCTTGGAGAGTGGGATGGTTTGTGTAAAMTTGATTCAGAGGGAAAGACAAGGAAAATGGTGGGTTGTTCTTGTGTGGTTGTCATGCAAAATGGGATCCATACTCCCAAGACTTACTGGGAGGAAAGGTCAGGGCAATAAACCTTGAGAAAGCAAAGCAAAGAATGATGAGTAACTTCTTTTTTGATCAATAGAATGATGAATAACCCTTTCTGAGAAGCAACATTAATTGAGGTTTTATTTATAAAAACTGATCCTGCTATTAAAACTTAGCAGTGGCAAGCATAATGGTAACTTTATTCTCCTTATCCTCAAATCTCTCCCTTGCAAATTGGTTTTTGTTGCAAGTAGCCACTATCAGCTGCAATTTCATTGCTGAATAGTGAAATCTGTAAATGAGGAACTGAATCTTTAAAGAAGACTTAAGTTTGCTCAAATGAGAAAGTAATCCATGACAACTAGAACATAGGTCATAGAGTGGACAAATGCATCAGGACCTATACACAGGATTTGCAAAAATATTAGTTCTTTCGTCAAGACCAAACAGAGGTTAGAAGAAAATGTCAAGATTACAAGTCAAGGATGAGGCCCCATTACAGAAAGTTTTAACTTCAAAATGGCTATCAACTCAGGGAATGAAGATTGGGAAAACAAACCGGTGATGAACCAGTTAGTAATTGGAGAAAATTTGTGATATATTAATAGTGAAGTTGAAGCTAAAGGGTACATTCATCTTAACCCCATTTGATAGGTGCAAGGTCTGGTTGACTTGGTAGAAGACAAAACAGAGGAAAGTAGATTGACTTGTCTAAGGACCAGGCTAACCACCTTGCTTTATTGGAACTTAGGCCTCAAATACCTCAAGTAAAAAAATGCAGGGGCCAAAGCCAAATAATTAGCAAACCAAAAAACATGAAGATGTGATAAGATACCAAAGCTGGAAGAGTTACTTGAATAGAAGGTCTGAGCCTTCGGGTCTGGGGTAACTATAACTTGAAGTTATCCAAAAAAACAACTATAACTGACTAGAGGAAGCTAATTGTCATTATATGAGTATGGGGCCAGCTACACGAATCCTGTTTCACCATTCTATTCTGTTCAGTGCCATATCCATACTACAGGAGGCTAATGTCCCCTACTAATGATTTTGAATTTCTGCTAACCTAGGTTTCTACTTCACAATAACCACTAAATTTTCTCAAATATTTATTAGATAATTTTATTACAACAAGCTATTTTGTGTTTGTGTTTGTGTTTTCTGTTATTTAACTAGTTTCTCTTTAAACAAGAATGAAGACGCACAAGACATATAGTTAGATATTGTGATATACAACACCAATTTCATGAGATTTTAATTCACAGAAAAAGGAAAGTGAAAAGAAACTTACTTACCAGAAGAAATCCATAGGTAATTGAAAATTACAAAACTGAACAGAATCATCTTTTATTTGATTGGGTTGGCACTCGATGGGGGATTTCTTTTTATAATTTATTCACTAGTATCATATTTTTGTGCCTTTCTAGTCTATTTTTGACTTTTTGTTTCTGTTACATGTCCTGCATCAATGCTAAACAAATCAGATTTATTTTGTCATTTGTTTATGTATTTTCTTTTCTCATTCAGGTGGCAACATCCTTGAACTCTAATGACTGTTTCTTTTTGCAATCTGGGTCTTCAAATTTTATCTGGCAAGTACATCAAAGTACTTTAGAGCAACAACAAATTAACTGCAAAAATTGCAGACTTTTTAAAGGTATGTAGTTCAGTTCAGTTTGTCATTTATTATTATTATTTTTTTTCTATTCAAAATTTGGGTTAGGGGGGTGTAAAACAGATTACACGTTCATCATCTTTGTTCTTCTTAGTAGACACATAAAGATAAAGAACAGTATAAAAGGAGAAGAAAAGCCCACATATGCCAATAAAATCTGAAAACTTTGGAATATTTGGGGTTTCTTTCACGTGTAAGTTTTAACAATAAATTTCTGATTTGCTTTCTCTGATAAAAAACCACAGCATTTAATGTAAGAAATAAGAATCATAGAATGAGTCAAAGAGATGCTTTCATATTTCCCAAACAGCAAAGAGAAAAACTTCCTCTAAATCATCCATTTCCAAAATTGCAAGCTAAAGGGGACAAATAAAAACTAGCAGCTTGCCCAAGACATTCAACAAGGCAATAAGCAGGTATAATACTAAACCACAAACCAGTTCTGTTCTCATTTCTTTCCTTTTTTCTACATCTTTTCCCAAACTCTTAAGCTTCAATCAACCAAAAAGACGCTTCAGTAAGAAACTCTTACCTACTTGAATTGAACTGTATTCAATTGGGCTCTTGAATTTTTACCAAAGGCCCTCCCCAACAGGCCCTAAGGGGCCCTTAGGGGGCAAAGCTAAAGATTCAGACAATGTGGTTCAATTGCTTTGATGTTTGAAGTGCTCCAAATAAATTATTCAAAAACCGATGTAGGCGGCCGTCTTTAGAAGACTGCCTCCTCAGATATCACTCTAGCGGTGGTCATTAATATAATTATACTTTACCTTTTGATTGACGATTAGAAGTGTTCCTCATGGATGAAAAATGGGTTTTGTCCAAATGACTTTATTTTCTTTCCTATTCTTGTTGCTGATTTGCCTAATCTATAATTCCTTATCTAGGATTTATCCAGTCCTAATGAGAGAATATGGACTGTTGACTTATGCCATTTCTCATCTCTCATTTTCTTTGCAGCACTAGGATCACCTATGAATCTCCCTGTTCATATACCTGGGGGGGGGNTGAGAGATCCATTGCACAGGGGGCATAGGAGATCCAAGTGTAAGCATGTGTGAAGTATTGTATGATATTGTTGAAGCTATTCAAAAAAAAATTATACATCAACAACTATACAATGATGACATGCACATTGGCCCATATACAAAAAGAATATCCTCCAACTAATAGGTCCAGCTTTCAAAAAAAAAAAAAAAGCTTGGCACCTTGAAACATTCTTTGTACACCACCCCTTGCAAAATCTAGTTGTGTTACAGACTCGAAAAAAAAATATGATGACCAAATCAAGAAGCTGCCATCTACCAAAGTGGTATGAATACTTGCAATGGAAGGTCTTATTCAACATTATCTCTGTTTCTATGTTAGAGTTTATATCAGCTCCTCTACTGTCAGCAATTGCTTGTATAGGGACCTTTGTCTCATCAACCTCTATAGCAGGTTCATCTGATCTATTCCAACTAAAGTCATCACCACCCAACAACACATTATTTACCAAGTTGTTATCATTGTACAACACATCTAGTATACCCATCTCAACATCATCTGCACCAATAACTCCACACATGTCATATATATCTCTAGGTTTTGTCTTGGAAACAACATACCATTTTGTATCAATGGGATCATGAACATAGAATACCTGTTCTGCTTGAGATGCTAACACAAATGACTCATTTGTATGTAAGCAGCCTTTGAAATTTACCGGTGTAAATACTAGTTCATTGACCCTCGTTCCTCTACCTTGAGTAACATCAAACCAATCACACTTGAATAAAAATATCTTAAAGTGTTGAAATAATTTAATTCAATTATATTGGTGAGCATGCCATAATATTCAATGTCACCCAACACCGGGTTCTTATCTCGGGTATTGGAAAAAATGTGTCTTCGCAATCACAACAATGCCACTATTTTGTTTTAAAAATATAAAAAAATGTAATCATTGCTTATCTTGATTCGATTAATAAAGTTGCACACTATTAGAGAGACTTTTGGGTTTTCTAAGGCCTCATATTTTAATACATGTTATTATTACATTTAAAAAAGACATTTAAGAGAGAGAGAGAGAGAGAGAGAGAGAGGGAGTAGTAATAATAATTACTGTATTTTAAAATTTATAGTATTAATAATATTTTTAATAATTAACAATATTTTTAAATAATTATCAGTGTTTATTCAAAAAACAATATTAAATAATGCATTTATTAATTAATATAATGTAAGTTATAATTTATTAAAAATAGTATTAACAATTATAGTATTTAGTAATTAACAATAATTAAATAATTACGGTATTTTATTAATTAATAATATTAACTATACTTTTTATTAATATAGTACTTTTAGTTGTTACAACATTTTTAATAATTATAGTATTTTAAATAATTAACATTATTTATTAAAGATAATGTATTTTTTATTAATAATATTTTTAATAATTAACCATATTTTACAGTATTTTCAATAATTACAGTATTATTATTTATAAATTAATAGTGTTTATTAAAATACTGTATTTATTAAAAATATTAATATTTTTATTAATTTATTAATTAACAGTTTTAAATTGTTAATTAATGTAAGTTATAATTTAAGTTGTATTTTAAATATTATTTAAATTATATTTGAAACTGTAAGTAATATAATTAAATTTTAAAACGTAATTAAAAGTAAATATATTTAAATATAATAAATACGATAAATTACCAAGAATTAAATATATATATATATATAACTATTAAAATTACTTTTTGAAAATATGTGCTAATTATGAATAATCTTCATGAAATAAATGTAATTAGTTCATAGTATTTTCATTTGTTTTTTCGTATAAATTATAAATTATATAATTTAAACATTATAATCCTTGTCTATAATGATATTAGCTCATAATAAAAAATAGAAAATATTTATTTACTATTATGTATTTTCATTATTTCACTTTCACTCCACAAACCCACGTGTCCTATATTACCGAATCCATTAATTTGGTTAATCGGATTTTTGGTTCGTTGAAAACTCTATTTGCTGTAACTGTAGGGTTACGGTTTCACTTTATTGAGGGTTGAAGCAGCCGCTGAAGTCCTTTCAGTTCGTTTGGGGACGAAATACACCCCGCGGTGCAGTTTCATATCATTAGCAGATCAGTCATGGTAGCTTATTTCGTTTTTGTCCTCTTTGTTCTTCATATATGATCCTTCGTCTCTTCTGATTCAAGTTTTCAATTTACTTTTCTATCTTTTTAGGTGAAGTATTCCAAGGAGCCAGATAACACAACCAAGTGTAAGCGTTCTAGAGCCATTTTCTCTGATTTTCTAGTTGCCTTTCAATTACTATTGAGCTGCGAAATGATTTCTTTGAGTCATTTTACGTTGTCCCCTAACATTCTAAGGTCTTTTTAGCGCGTTTTCTTGTCGCTGGTAAATTCGCTAGAAATGCATTTTTTTTTTTTTTTTTTATAAATAACACTGGAAATCCAATTTTTCCGTGTTTCAATTGATTTTAATTCATGTGTTCTGATTCATTTCTTGACATTCATCTTGCAGCCTGCAAGGCCAGGGGCTCGGATTTGAGAGTTCATTTCAAGGTGTGTTGATCTGAACTTGTTGTTATGGCTCTTCTTTTCTTTTGTTGTTTACGTGAACTGTGATACGATTCTCCATCATTGTTTTCATCTGCTTATCAAAACAAAGTCATGGTTTTGTTCACAATGCTAGCGTCATTATTGTTATATTTGTAAACATATGGGAAGGAATTGTGGGTCTTAGCTAATATTTGGGGTCTCCTTCCACAAAGTGAATGGAAGACCAGCCAGTAACATCTTGAAGGCTCCAACATTAATCTCCTTACAGTTGTATGAGAAGGACCAGTTTTCAATTAAAACCAGTCCCAAATCAGTTTGCACTGTTCTAAAATCGACCATCTTCTCCCCTGTATCCAGAATTGCTCTATATTCATCAAAGGGATACATTGAAACACCAGATTTGACTTGGAGCTTACCTGCAGCTTCTATTATTACTTTCTAGTCAGTTGCCTTCTTCCCTGCTTTAACAATCAATCTTTGTTCCCAATCACCTGTCATTTTCCAAAAATAATATCTGAATCTTGCTTGAACTTGCAACTGAAAATAGTTGCAAGATTTCTTCCTGCAAGCTGACCCCAGGCACTTTGTCCAGGTCGCAATAAGTTTTCTTAGAAGGGTCACTATCATGTGGATTTTCTTGATTTGCCTCAGAGCTTTTACCGACCAGGGTTTCAGCTTCTTTCAGCAATAAAAAGTCTTGTAGTTTCTGTGCCATTAACTTCCAACCTAAACCTTGTTTTCCTTCTAGAATACAGATAATTTGCTTTTTGGTATTACCGAAAATCTCTGAAACCTCCACATACCACCCTTTTTGGTTACACTTCAAGACCACCTGATACCTTCTTCTTGGAAGATCCAAAGAATTCCTCCAACCATTATTCTTAACAGAGAGACAAACTCCATCGTTGAAGCCTTTCAGCCATGGTAATGCTTCTCCTATTAAGAACATAAAGGCCCTTCCTCTCTGATCTTCAACACCAGTTGGCTTCAATTCTTCCCTTTCTTCCAGAAAGAACTTTGCTTTAACCATCAACTCACCTCTCCATCTTCTCGCTGGTACGAAGGATCCCTCTTGCTTCTCCATTTCAAGACAGTAAGTGCACACACATAGGGCTGTAGATTAGCTGAGCTGGTAAGATGAAAAACTTTCCTTTCGAGATCTTCCCAAGAACTAGATTGGTTCTCAAAAACTCTCTTGTTCTGTTCCTTTCAAATACACCAGATACCAGCATGGCAACATGAATAATCATTCTCCAGAAAATTATTATCAAAATTTTATTTTTCATCAATGTGTCATTCCTGGTTATTTTCTGCAAAAACACACCATCAATGTGGTATAAACAAAACACTGAATTATATGGATGACTGTGAGGGATTCACAATGGCCATGAATCCCTAAAGGGCAGGGCAGCCCGGTGCATGAGGCTCCTGCCAATATGGGGTATGGGGAGGGACAGATGTACGCGGCCTTACCCCTGCACATAAAGAGAGGCTGTTTCCAAGAAATGACCATAAATCCTTGCTAATTCAAAATCATTCACTTATCTAAGAAAATATAGTTCTTGTACAAAAAATGAGAGAGAAAGGCCATGCTAAACCACTTAAGAAACACTAGCATAGTCATAATAAAAACCAAACTAGATCTAAGAATAGATCATGTCAGCTGATAAGAAAATACATGTGAGAGAAGAAAAAAATGTTGCAAACCTCAAGCTGCACACGCATGGCCTCCAACAAACCAGCCATTTTTGGGGCACGTTAAGATTGAGGCACAACATGGTCACTTTTGCTACGAGCAAGGTTCCTCGTCAATCTGGACCTTTTCTCTTTCTTCTTTTCTTTGGATGGAACAATGAAGCCCCTGCATAAAGTGGGATTTGACAAGAATATGCAAGTCATGATCATAAAGAGCACAAATAAAAGAAAAGAGATAAAACATGAAAGACATGGAGCAATGAGAGAGAATAAACAGATAAGATCCTAGAGCTAGAAGCACAACCTGCAGCCCCCGCAGAAGCCAGGAGGACTTCATAAGATGTTTCACGGAGGTCATCATCTGTAATACCTGCCAGAGAAAATAAAAGAAAAAGAAAATTTGAAACTAAATGGTTAAAAGGGGTCTATCCTATTTATGCTCACATTTCATGCTTTGGTTACTTTGCCAAAGTTCTAAGGCAGCAAACTTTATATACATACAAAGTCCATGAATTTAGGCTGTGTTTTGTTTGAAAGAAAAGGTAGGAAAAGGAAGGGAGAGGGAAACCTATACTACTCTTCCCTTCCTTTTCCTACCTTTCCTTTCAAACTAAATACAGAATTAAAGAAAATATACATTAATTTCTATATAATATAGTATCACATAATGTCACTTCCCCCTGTGATATCCACCATCATGGACTTATGCCAATAATATGAAGTCAACTACAGGAGCTTGAAACGAAAGATCAGAATTCATATGAAAGACTTCCTACTGTAAATATAAAAAATTCAGCATAGAACTCAAATACCAGCAACTCCTTAAATCAGCTCCATTATGTAAAAAAGAATTCCAGCAAGGTAACCCATCATGCACACACCATTGCTCATACATTTCTTTCAATAAGTTTAGGCTCCAAAGAAATGGGGAAAAGATTCTTCTAGGCATTCCACTAAATCTTAGCCAAGGTTACCTGTTGCAAAAGACAGCAATCCTAACACAAGATCACTGGCATTAATTGTATTCCTTCTTGAAGTGCTGAGACTGTTAACTTCCTCATTATCATCATCATCCTCAAAATCTTCAATGTCATCAACAGATAGTTCTGGAAGCTGTGTTGAGTGGAGGGGCTGTGATTTTGATAGGCTTGACGTAATGGGTGAGGGTGTGTGGATAGGAATCTAGGTAGCTCCCTTCTTGGAGGTGAACCTGAGTGGTCAGGATTTGTAACCAAAAAGAATTCATTGGTAGAACCTGTATTATTCTGAAAGAACAAGATAGGTCATAGGTTGCAATCACATTATTGTTATATTTGTAAACATGTGGAAAGAAATTGTGGGCCTTAGCTAATATCTGGGGTTATAGGAGAACTGGCTAGTACTTTTTCACTATTAGTCATTATCTTTAAGGGTTCCTGCTGTGATATGGTTCAACATCCATTCCCTGATGATGACATGTTTCTAGAGTCCAAAAGGCCAAAAGTGTAAATGATGAAATGGGATGATTATATCCATTTGTTTGAGGATTAAAACTTTTATTTCTGAACGTTTTCTTATCTTGGAAGAAATAATTGGAATGAGTTGTTTGTCTATCTCTTAACTTCTACTTAGGATGATTGAGTCTCTAAATGTACGAGTTTGTGAGGGTATTTTTTAATGGTTGATAGAGTTGTATCTCTACTGTAACATTAGACTATTAGCATTTGCTTCTCTCTATTTGATTTTCAACTGTTATACTGATAAGTTGTCGTACTTATTTAGTTAATGATCCTTTTGTTAGAAATTACTGCTGATACTGGCATTAAGGATTGGTTTTGCTTTGTATTGGTTTATACACCTGATGATAAAAGCAGGGTCTTGTTGCCCAGTGAATGGGCCTCTCGTAAACTTCAGGGAAATTATTTACATTGTTATTGGGTGAACCTCTGTTTGTATCCTTCATGACAGAAGGTTCAGTAAATGATGTTACATTATAGACACTATTTGATGCTTTGTTGGTGATTCTTTTGACTGTTCATCTATTAACTTCTAATTAGGATGATTGAGTGTTTGGATTTATAAGTTCGTCTGCTCTATTGACTGAACTGTATGAGGGGATTTTTCTTATGACTGATGGAGTTGTAGGAATTACTGTTGACACTGGCATTGAGAATTGATTTTGCATTGTATTGGTTTAACACCTGATGATAAAAGCAGGGTCCTGTTGCTCATGTGAACGGATCTCTCGTAAATTTCAGGGAAATTATTTACATTGTTATTGGGTGAACCTCTGTTTTTATCCTTTGTTCCTGAAGGTTCAGTAAATGATGTTACATTGTGACACTATTTGATGATTTGTTGGTGATTCTTTCAATTTTCTGAATTAATGCTAATGTGATGGCATATTGGCATATAAATTGCTCATGGTGTTTTTGCATCAGTAGGGGTTCTAACTTGGCTTCCTCAGAAAATGTTTTAAATGCTATGTCCAAATGGTGCAATATCTTTGTTGAAATTCTGAAAATAAGCAGCAACTAAATAAATGATAATAATAAGCTCCGCTGCTACTGGGAGAGTAAGCAAGCTACCTTGCTTGCATTCTAAAAACGGTAGCTTCCGCGCCCTTCCTGCCTGCTGAAATTGATGTGAATGATCATGACAGCTCTTTAAATCCTAATCAGTCTGATTAGATATCTCACTGAAACAAAGTGATCCTGTTCTGTCTCTGTTTTCTTTTCGGATTCCAAGGATGAGCAACATCATTTATGAGGAGCCAGACAACAAAGACTCCTCAGATAAAGATGGAAGGGAGAGTTGGTTTTGGCATCATTAAGTTTTTGCTTCAACAAATTGAAATTAGTACAGTTTTCCTTTGATTTGTATGTTTTAGTAACCTTTGCCAGGGCTAATACTGCATACTTGTTCATCCTTTTGCATTTGTTGTGTTTTTGTTTTCATTTTTTTGATTCTATTAATTTGAAAATCTTGAATTTATGCTATATTCCTTGCTTCCTTAGAACACTAGAGAGACTGCCCATGCAATTAGAAAGTTGCCTTTGACCAAGGCTAAAAGGTATTTGGAAGATGTGTTGGCCCACAAGCAAGCCATTCCATTCCAACGCTTCTGTGGGGGTGTTGGTCGAACTGCTCAAGCAAAGAACCGTCATCCAAATGGACAGGGACGTTGGCCTATTAAGTCTGCCAAATTCATTCTAGATTTGCTTAAGAATGCTGAGAGTAATGCAGATGTATGTTTGATTCTAGCTGGTTATTGATTTCGTTTTCTTCAATTTTTAGATAACTATCTACATTCTAATGTCACCCTTATTTATTTTCCAGGTGAAAGGTTTGGATGTGGATTCATTGTATATTTCCCACATCCAGGTAAACCAGGCTCAGAAGCAGAGGCGCCGCACTTACCGAGCTCATGGGAGAATCAACCGTGAGTTTGTTAACTTGTTATTAATTTTTATGAACTTCTTTTAAATTTAGCCTGTGGCTATTTAATGAGACTGTCTATTTTGTATGACAGCCTATATGTCTTCTCCCTGCCACATTGAGTTGATCTTGTCTGAAAAGGAAGAAGCTGTAAAGAAAGAGGTAATCACTGTTATTTGATTATACAAGAACAATAGCATTAATGAAATAAGCCCAAGGACTAGGGTAAGAAAAATGTGGTTTGTTGTGTCTTGATAGACTACTGATGTTGGATCTTTCTGTTTTGCAGCCTGAGACTCGGCTAGCTCCAAGAAAACCCCAAAAGGCTCAAGCTCTAAGAAGTGGGGCTTCTTCTTGAGCAGTGGGGTACAGGGATTCGTTGCTAAAGGATGGTCTTAATCATTGCAACTTCTCTTTAGAGGACGATTTTTGTTTCTTTTGGATCAAACTTTGTTATTAGGAGGTAATGAGATCTGTTGTTATTAAACAAAATTTGCTAGTTATATTTTGGTTTGGTTGCTATGTGGAATTTTGTACCATGATGAAATAGTTAAATATTAAATGATCAGTAAAAAGTGGGGCGAATAGGACATTTGGGAGTCTTGTCATTTAATTCTGCCAAATATCTTCAAGGGCGACCCTTTTGTCATGGCTTTGAGCAATATGGCAACGTTTTGATTATTCCTATTAAATCAGATTTGTTTCCTTGAAAAACAAAGTGGTCTATTTGTATGACAAATTGAAGTGCAGAAGTGGAAATGTGGAATCTGATTGCCGTATATCGACGATACGCCTACAAGTGGCTGATCTTCATATACATTCTAAACATTCTTACGTTGCCCTGAATTGATGTGGACCAAATGATCTTTTAGATGTAACCAAATTAAAATAAATTGGAAATAGAAAAACACGTTATTACCCATAAGCCATGGTTGCTTTAGCAGTCTAGCCTAAATCATTGTAGTACTACATATCTAGTCAATTTCAACTACTTACTAAGGGCCTGTTTGGTGTGTTGTTTTGAGAAGATCTTCTGGTAGTTCTGACATGTAAAAGATGTATTGAGTTTTTGCATTAAGACCTGAGAAGTCCGAAGCATGTTTGGTAGATGCACATTTTTCCGTGCGTCTTTCTTTGTCTTTTCGCATGAGAATAAAATATGAAAGATGTGGAAAGCTTTATTTGAAGCTTCTCGAAATCAGCCCAAAATGGGCTTCTTGTGTCTTTTCGATGCTGTCTTTTGGCGGTTAGATCTTCTATGAGCCAAACAAGAATAGATTGAAAATCGGTCTTCCCAATTTGTAAACAGCTGAAAAACTGTGAAAAGACACGTCAAACTGATCCTATGTCAAGGGAGAGAGATTACAAGAAGGAGAGATGGGAACGATTACTTGCTGCCAATCACTCACCTAATTGGTCCAAACCTGTGTCAGTGATGTTCTCATCTTTTATAAATCCCTATAAACGAAGTCAAAGATCAGGGTTATCTGAAACTTTCCATTGATCTTGGCCCTAGACGACAGTTTCAAATTAAGTTCAGGGCATGGTTTTTAAAACCGGTCTGGACTGGACGGTCCGGAAACATCGGGAACTGGTCAGATGATTGGCTCCGATTTTATCCCAATATTTTGTCAGAAAATCGTTGACTCGGAGAGTTGAATCGTTCAGACTGTTCGAACCATCCAATAGTTTTAACTGTTTTTTATTTTTCAATTTTTTTTTATCAGAATGGGCCGTCCGTTGGAACCGGACCCCTGACCGGTTCGTTGTCCGGCTCTATTTTAAAAGGACCTTGGTTTAGGGTAAGGCACATCAAAATCAAGCGTTCAGTTGCTTAAGGCATTCAAATGGGACCTCTTCTACTTCTAGCATTCAACAATTCCGAATATAAAAACTGTTGAAGGCGGGATATTGCTCCCTTGCTCCCTCATCCACTATCAGTGATCTGACGAATCCTAAGACCCGGAAACGTAACTAATCTCCTTGGTAGGCTTCAAGTGGATCATGTCATTCTTGAATATTTCAAACGTCATTTGATCAGATTATGCTGCACAGGAATCCAATGTGGAACCTTCTCCAGATACCCATCCAGAATTTTTCCGTTGAAGAAGTGGTGGACGATGAGATAGTGATTCTAGATCATGAATCTTAGCCTTTTCTATTGCATATAAAACTATAGAGCAAGGCTGGCTCATTTTCTCAATGGAGGAGTACAGATGGAACCCATCCTTTCCTCATCCAACCTTCTCAAATGGCTCAGTCTCCCTACCTCTCTCATTAGATTCCTGCTTTGGTTTGCCTCCATGTTTCAGCTTTTGCAGGGATTTCAAATTTCCTTTAACACTTATTGGCACCTTAAATCCTCAAGGAATTTATAGTATGACCCATGGTTGTAAACAAGAATGTGTCTCAGATTTTGAAGCTTTAGTATTCCAATTGATAATCAAGATACATAGGCATGTTTGAGATCACGTCTCTAGGCTAAGCTTCTCAATAGAGTTAGGGAGTATCTAGATTTTGGTATACCTCAGACTTTAAATACCTTAAATGGAACAGGTTGATAAATTCATCTGGAAGCAACTCAATACCGGAACCTCTCAAATCCAACGCCTTCAGAAGCCTGCAACCATAGAAGAGTGTTCTGGTAAATGAGTTACGTTGGGTAGTGTAGCTACTTGGAACATGAAGATAGAATGGTACACAAGGTTCTCTCTTTTTGCTACTTTTCCACAATAACTCCTATGGATTGATAGGCGTCTGATCTTCTGGTTTGTTCATTATAACATTACCATCAACATCAAATGTTGCTGAAATATTTTGGTCCCTTGACTCTGCAAGAATAAATTCGTACCGAAGGTCATGGATTCTGCAACTTTGGCTCTCCCATCACTGGTTGTTTCTACAATTTGAATTAAGCTTCTGTTGATAAGCTAATCGAAGTAGCTCTCTCCAACTTCTTCTATTGTATTTCCTGGTCTTTGTTGGAGAAATCCTTCTGCCATTTATAACCAAATTAGTCTCATCCGCTCAATTGATTTATCCTTAGAGAAGATGCTTAAATGCAAGAAAAAAGATTTATGGAAGATCGTGATAACTGAGAAAATATTCTGTTGATGCCCTTAAGTTGGTAATCATGCCCTTAAGTTTATTGCGGCAGTTTTTGAAAGGGATAAAAGGCAACTGCCGCTAGAAATATTGGTCTTTAGCAGCAGCCACGACCTGTCAGTCTTACCCTTAAGTTGGTAATGATGCCCTTAAGCTTGTACGAATTTCACACCAACCGAGTAGGGTTTTTCCCCACGCCTCTTCCTCTACACATTTCTTCTCTTCTAGCCCTCTCCGTCTCTCTCCTCTCTTGGTCGTCTTTTTCTCTCATCCAAATTTCAAACCACCGGCATCGACTAAACCACTGGTAGTGTGAAATTTGACTGCTATTTCTTAAACCTGTTTCGACAGACTGGCTCAAGTTCAACTAATTAATCCAGACTTGCTCAAAGACGAGAGAGAGAGAGAGAGAGGCAATTGATTTGAAGCCTTTTGCAGTGTATAGAAAGAAAGGGGAGAAAGGAAAATGGAGATGGACGACGAGGAGCTAGAAAAGCGATCAACAGGAGAGAGAGAGAGAGAGAGAACGAGAAGAAGTCAATAGTTATAAAGATACCCTCATGTCAAGAAGCCTTTGAGACATCTCAAGCAAAACCCCCACCTCTCTTCCATCCCTCTTCCTCCTTTGTTGAAAGCCTTATTCTTCATTAAAAACTCCAAATTCTACTCCACTCCTCATCCTCCCACTTCTTCATCACAGTCTGTGCCTTCATAGGTGAACTCGACTTCGAGGTCTATCTTTGATTCTTTCCTCTATCTGCCTGTATTCTTTTGCAACAAAAAAAAAAAAAAAGGGTTTTTAGGCTTGTACGGAGATGATATTTCTATTATTAAAGGCAATCAAAGGCTTCTTGTTCTTTATCTTCTACTTCTACTTCTGTTTCTGTTCCTCCTTCGGCGTGGTCTCTTTCTGTTCAAAATTGTAACACAATCCTTGTAAGCCATAGATAGGTTAGTCCATCTCTTTCAGTTTGTCTATTGGTAAACACATCCTGTCTTTGCTTTAATGTAGTATTCGAAGTATTTGTTTTGTATATTAATGAAATTAATTTTCTTTGTGATTATTCTACACTATTAGCGATAGGTGATACATTCTTGAATTGATTGTTTCTTAACCATCTTGATTTCCCATTATTGGCTGGCATCCATAGCTTTCGTTGAACTTTGAATTGTGTTCAAAACTTAATTTATTCTAAACTAGAGGGATCCATGATTAATTTGTTTGAATTGCCTGCTAATACTAGCTTTTATATATTTTCTTGGATTAAATTGACTGTTGATGCAGTCTTCGGTATCATCTGCTTCATCTAAATTACCTATATTATTGAACAAGGGAATTAAATAAGAACTTCAAGCTCTGTGTTGTTTTGTGCCATGTTGGCATTGCAAGCCATCTGCTCTTTTATTTACTTGAGCAGTACTTCTATGTCTATTTTCCTTTCTTTTTTTGTGGTAATGGTTGAGTTTTTATATAGAATGCTTACCAGAAAGAATTCTTATTCAATAAATGTTCTTTTTCCTTATTTCTATTTTTTTTTTTATGTTATTTTTGTTAAGGAGGATTAAGCCTTTACTTGAAGTGACAAGGACAACTTTACTTCATGATTATTGTACCCTTCTTTGTGGATGGAGGTGTTGCACCATTATTTTTCTTTCTTGTTGTGATATATATTTTTTTTTCTTTTCAAGGAATTAGTACCAAATGACATTATTTTCTATTCATTACTACCTGGAATATTTGATAAAATTTTGTTTGTTGCGATCAATATTTTAAGATATGATGTCCAATGTCCTAATAAAACATCTTCAATTTGCTTTGGTTGACAATCTTTCTTTTGTTCTCAAGCTTTGAGGAATGTGGCTGATATTTGGACAATAAAATAAGCCTGTAGATATCATTCAAGGGCAGATGGATAAAAACTACGGGCCCGTTTGGTGCATCTTTCTGCATGGTCTTTCGGCTGTTTACAAGCTGGGAAGACCAAAAATCAGTCTATTTCTGTTTGGCACATGGAAGATCTAGCCACCAAAAGACGGGGGTGCCAAAAAGACGTGAGAAACCCATTTTGGGCTGATTTCAGGAAGCTCCAAATGAAGCTTCTCGCGTCTTTCGCATTTTAATCTTGCACGGAAAGACCCGAAATGATGCATGGAAAGATGTGCGTCTGCCAAACGGTCTTCGGGCTGCCTAGATCTTATGTCAAAAGCTCAATGCGTGTTTTGACTATCAGAGCTACAAGAAGATCTTCTCAAAAAGACTTGCCAAACGGGCCCTACATGTCACGGGTATATATCATTGTACAATCTTTGTTGTAGTGGTTAGATATTGCCAGCTAATACTTCTTGAAGTCAATTTTTAGGACATAGACTATTGTGCTTTCCCTTTAGATATAAAATATTTAGCACAAAGTACTCTTTCCAACTTGCTTCAACTAAAGTTTCTCTTTTCTTTTTTTAATAGCTGTCTCATGCCCTTATGACAGTTCGACATGTTAAAAAAAACTGATATAGTCACCCTTGGGTCGGCTTTCGGAGTAAGTTTAATGTCTCCAGTAAGATATTCATAGTTGGTGCCCTTATCTTTATTTTCTACCATTTTTTACCATGAATCTAAGATGTTTTTTCCTCTTTGGACGATGATTGCTGATGTAGTTAAAATCTCATGATTTATGATATGGTTTATGATTCAAATAGGGAATCCTAAGGGCCCCATTTCAAATTTTATGATTGAATCCTTTTATGGATAATTCTCATGATTATTGTTTAAACCTACAATTCCATTCATGAACCACAAATCTTATGATTTATCCAATTATACACTTCCAATTAATTTGAACAGAACCTAGCTAGTTTAGTAGTGTTCTACTTTCTCATTTCTTTGTCTTTGTATTTTTGATTGGAATTTTTAGCTTTTACTAGAATAAGACTTCTTTTTTTTTGGTAAATAGACTTATCCTATTTGTTTCGACTGCTGCTACAGTAGTCCGAACTAGTAAGGAGAAGAAGAAAGAGAAAGAGAAGAAGAAGAAGAAGAAGAAGAAGAAGAAGAAGAAGAAGAAGAAGATGAAAGAATTGTTGAACCTGATAGGCTAAACTCTATCAGTTGACCTCTTAATAGTGATTAGGCTCTAATTAATTATACAAAGACTAAACTGCCCCCACTAAAGTATGGGACCAAGAGTCTCTAATAAGACTGCCACATAAGCACATAACTTAACAAAGGTGAGTTGACTAATCTACCCTTATTCAGTTAACTCTAACACTCCCCCTCAAACTGGAGAATATATGTCATATAATCCCAGCTTGTTACATATATAGTTCACTCTCCCTGAGTTTAAGGCTTCTGTAAACAAATCTACCCACTAATCACCTGAGCCTACATGTTCTGTGCTCATCTCTCCAGTAAGAACCTTCTCCCTCACAAAGTGGCAATCAATCTCTATGTTCTTTTTTCTCTCATGAAAAACAGTGTTGGATGAGATATAGAGCGCAACTTGATTGTCATAGTACAATTTCATAGGTTTATCCATGTGGAACTCGATTTCTTGTAGGAGATTCCTCAACCATACTAATTCACATGTAGTGTGTGCCATGGCTCTGTACTCGGCTTCAGCACTGCTTCTAGCCACAACCGTCTKCTTTTTACTCTTCCACGTCACAAGATTTCCTCCAAGAAATGTGTAGTAACCTGTAGTAGATCTTCTATCAGACACAAAGCCTACCCAATCTGCATCTGTGTACCCAATTACTTTAAGTTTTCCTTCTGGTTTATACAATAGCCCATGACCCGGAGCTCCCTTCAGATATCTTACAATTCTAAGAACTGCATCCTAGTGAGATATACGAGGGTTCTGCATAAATTGGCTCA